ATGTGATGTTTTACATATAATGACTATAAAAGAAACTGATAAAAAGAAATGTTTTATTCTGAAGTGGAGGAATTCTCATCTGAATCACCGTCTGAGTTAAGATCTGAGTCTGAGCTTGAAAGTGAGTCTTCTTCATCTTGTATATCTGCCAAAGGTCGTCCTCGTGGATAAAACCTTTTTATGTGAGATGCAGCATAGGCCCTTTTTAATTCAACCCCGTCTAGTTCTTCCAGTATGTATGATCCTCCATTAAGCTGTTTCTTAACTTTAAAAGGTCCATTCCATCTGTTTTCAAATAACTTCCCCCACTGATCCTCCAGACTTTTATTATAAGTTAAAACCAAATCCCCAGGTTGCAGTGGTTGACGTAATCTGGCCGCCATTTTTCGATCCCAGAATCTGACTGAAGTTTCTCGAGTTTCCATCATTTTGTGGTGAGCGATTTCCAAAATTTCGTCTCGTCTTTCCAGCTGTTTTGTCCTTGCTTCTAGAAGTTCGGCCGTAGTGCTGATTTCTGTCCAATCAATTCCAAGATAGGTGTCCATTTCGATATCCACTGGGAGAACTGCCTTCTGTCCGAACATCAATTCATATGGGGAAAATCCAGTTGTCCTTTTTGTTGAAATTCTATCTGAAAATAAAACTAATGGTAAATATTCTCTCCATTTTCCTCCGGATTCGCCACACATTTTTACTAAAGTATCTTTAATGGCTCTGTGTCCTCTTTCAATCATTCCATTTGCTTCAGGATAGTACGGCGTAGTTGGTTTGAACTTTGCTCCAATGCTTTCCACTGCCGTAATAAACTCGTTCTTGAATTCTGGTCCATTGTCTACCGTTACCGTCTTGATTGCTCCATACCGATACACCCATTCTTCTAGCAGGAATTTAGCAATGGTTGCTGCTGTCAGCTTGACAAGTGGTGCTGCTTCTGCCCATCCTGATAAGTCGTCTCTAGCAATTAATAAATATTTATATCTTCCAGCTTTTATATGGCAGACATCTAAAGCTACTCGTCCAAATAAAGTTGTTGCTCCAGTTGGATCCCTGATTTCCCTGGGTACCAAAGCGTCTCGTTTCTGGCATGCTTCGCAACTCTGAACCCATAGTTTCACTTTCTTCTTCAAGCTGGGCCACCAGAATCGGCAAACTAGTCGTTGATAAGTTTCTTCCAGTCCTCTATGTCCTAGTTCTTCATGTACTTTTCTCAACAGTTTACTTTGATAAGAAATATTAGAGATTACTAATTGAGCCATGGGAGAATGCCGTCGCATGAGTCGTCCATCCTGGATAAAAAAGTTCACTGATTTCCGCTTCATTGACCGGTATTCTTCAGGATCCATGCCCGTTGGCCGTTTCATTGTACTTAAGTAATTTTTAAGATTCATCCAGAATCCCGGTGCTTCCCATTCCAAAAGTTCCTCTGATATTGAAAATGTCCGAAACTGGTAAGTTGCACGTATTACTGGCTCATCTTCATCAAAGTCTGGCTGATCTTCATAGAATTCTTCCTCTTCGTCACTGATAGGCCTTCTGGATAAAGCATCCGGTAAGGTAAATGTTTTTCCTGGCTTATGTACTATGTCAAACGAGAAGAGTTGAATGAAGGCCACCCATCGCGTCATTGGTGCATTTGGGAGTGAAGGTGAGTTGATCATTTGAATAAGTGATTGCGCGTCAACTTGTAATTCGAAATGTTGACCCCAAAGAAGTGTTTGCAGTTTCTTGAGGATTCGAGAGACTCCGCATAATTCTAATTTTGGCTGAGAATACTTGGATTCCACGGGTGAAAACACTATTGACTCGTATAAAACCGGTCTATTCAATCCTGTCTCTAGTTCTTGTTGGGCCAAAACTGCTCCTGCTGCAATGAAACTTGAATCCACCGCTAGCACAATCAGTCCTGCGCCTTCCGAATAGTCCAGATTTTTCAAGGTGATATGTTCCCCAATTATTTGTTTGAGTTTGTTAAATGCTTCATTACATTCTCCAGACCATGCAAAACTAATGTCTTTCCGTGTGAGTTTCCGTAGAGGTGCCGCAATTTCCGCTAGGTTTTTTACAAAAATGCGGACGTAAGTGACTATTCCCATAAATCCTCGTAGCTCGGTGAGACTGTTTGGAGTTGGCCAGGTTGTGATTTTATTCTTCTTCTGTACTGAAACTTTTCGTCCTTCTTTGCTGACCACGTGTCCAACAATATCCAATGCAGGTACACAGCAAGCAAACTTCTTTCCAGAAATAGTGAGTCCGGCTTCTTCAATCCTAAAAAGAACTCTCTCCAAAGTCTGAGCATATTCCCAGATAAATCGTCGTATCCCCGGGTTTTCTTCCAGAACTTCATCGTTGTAAGTGGTTCGAGGTCCCTTTATTCCGCCATCGTCAATAAATACTCCCACGTATTCCGGAATTTCGTCTTGAAGAATCCACATCATTTGAGCTTGATAGACTGCAACCGAGTTTGTGGCCCCTTGAGGAAGTCTGGTTAGTTGAAATCTTCCCAAAGGTGTATCAAAAGTGGTTAAAGGCCTTGATTCTTCCGCCAATTCTCGTTCGTCGTATCCTCCCATAATATCTCCTAGTCCATAACAGGCTCGTCCAGCAAAGGCTTCCACAAATTCTTCTGTTGCTGGTGGTAATCCTGCGTCCTTGATGGTTACTCGATTCATTTCCTGTAGGTCGTGCACAATCCGTAATTTCCCATCATGCTTTGCAACACAAAAAACTGGACTAGAGTAGCTGGAAGTGGATTGCTCGTATAAGCCGGTCCGTATTCGTTCCCGCACTAGTTCCACGTAATCATCCTTAATAGCAGCTGGTATTGGTATTGGTTTCTTCTGCCATGGTATATGATCAATGACTGGTATCACGTAAGGTAGCCCGTAGGAGTGTTTCAAAAGTCCTCGTTCTTCCATGCAGAATGCCAAAGCTTTTTCTCTGATAACAATGACGTGCTTAAACAGTTTGAGCTCCTCTTTCCAAAGCCATCCTTCCGGTCCAAAATTAACAACCTTTAAGCGCTCTTCAGTGATTTTCTTTGTTGGTGTAAATTCTGGAGGGTGTGGAGTAAGTGGAGTTTTGTATGGATCTCGAGACAAAGGTGGTCGCTTTAGTGGTGGATTTAGTAGTTGCGGAAGTGGTTGATTAATTGGTCGAACTTTCTTCCCAACTGGTTTATACTTTGTCATACACCACAGATTCCCTTCCTTCCAATTTTGACATAAGTGCTTCTGGAACGTCCATCCAAGTCCTATTCCCAACAGGTCGTGGATGTTCTTGCTTGGTTCCGTCCTCGTAACTGATTCCTTTATGATCCGTTTGGCAAGGTTTGATTGTATTACAGCTCCTTCGTATTGTGAACAGGTGAGTTGTTCTTGTCTGCTGTGTTCTTCTTCCCATCTTTTTTCGTGTTCGTGTTCCTTGTTACCTGTTTTACATAGTCTTAAAATTGAGTCTGAAATATCAGTGAGTATTATCTTGGAAAAAAATTGCATCAGCTTAAAAATTGTTTTGGTTAGTTCTGTAATTTCTTGTAAGATAAGAAAAAGAAAAAATAGTAGCCAGTCAAAGAACACCGGCGCCCAGAATTCAACTCTCTTGACTAGCTTCAGTGAGTTATCCCTCAATTGGACGCCGGAATTCATAAAAAATGCTGAATAATACTCTTTTTGAACATTCGATCCTCGTCGTTTGTCGGTATATTGTTGTCCTGTAACTTCACACTATTGGTACTGAGGTCCTTCTTATTATTCCAGCCTCTTCCTTGGCCTGTTCTTGCTAATGGTACTGACACCCTTCGTCCCTTTGTTCCTTGAAAAGATAGAGTTTCACCGTTTTCGTGATATTCCAGAGTGCATCCGTAGTCGAATAAGAACGGTCGTCCCAAAATACAGTCCTGAGCCTTGGGCGAAACAAATAAATGGGCTGGTCCAGAGAATCGTCCAATTCCAACTGGGCAATTTTCAACTACTCCATTTAAGTCGCATCTTGCTCCCCCAACTCCTTTCATTGGTATATTTACTTGAACTAGTTCCAAATCCAAATCTTCCGCTACTGATCGAGGCATAACGTTTACCATGGATCCTGAATCGACCATAAATTCCACGCTAGCTCCCCCAACTTCGGCTGTTACGTATCCTAAGGCACAGCTGTAGTAGCAAGGGTCCGAGGAATCTTCTATTTCTGGAGTGGTCATGGCTGCTGAGACTTTTGTAGCTTCTGTAGCAATATAAGTTGCACTACTTTTCTCTGGAAGTCGATTCTGAAGTTTCATGATTATTTGTTCTGTGTAGGATGGTGAAATAGCCGTGAGTTGTGCAAAGGTTGTTGGAATTTTCAAATGGTCTAACTCCTGCAACAGAGCTTCTTCTGGCGTTGCAGCCTTATTTTTATTCACTGGCTTTTCTTTACTCCACACTTTCTCTACCACAGGTGTTTTAGGTGTTTCCTCCGTAATATCGGCGAGCTCGTCTTCCTGATCAAGGTCCATGCCATC